TAAATAATATTTAATATTTCAGTCCGTACCGCAAAGAAAACGCCACACTTCACCACTGCATAGATCGTTTGGTCGTCGCTGTTTACTCTGAGAATCACGCGACCTTATAAGATTTAGAGTTTTGTCGTCGGAAAGCATGCATATGGAAGTCATGTGGGTTGTTTTGCCGTGTACTTGGTAGGATGTTACCGACGTTTAAGAGGAGCTTGCTGTTTCCATCATCAGTGCTTTGAGTCATGTTACTACACGGCAGAACAACCTAGAAGACAGCCATCTGCAGACACAACCTTTTTATGTACTCGCTTTCTCCTTGTGAATTTCTTTCGAACAATAGACAATGACAGTGTCGAAGGCATTGTGTTAACAAGTATTTCGCGATTGTCTCTGCCCTCGATATTAGTTGTAAACATTTTTTTCTCTCATGATTACGTGTTGTTAATTATCCATTATTTGTCATACTGGGCAGACAGCCCACATCAAACGTCGGAAGATAAATGATAATATCATGATGAAAAGGACAACTATCAGCATTTCCTTTGGATTTTCATTTCGGAATTTGTAGCTCCTAACTTATGTTAAAATTGTAAGGTCCTAAGAAAATTGTAGTTTGCCTGTAAATGTGGGGCAAATTTTTTCTATATTATACAAATGTACCATACGTTTCGTTGTCATTAATTTTAAGGACCACTTAATCACTTACTTTACTAAATTAACTTCCCTAAGGAGCCAACGTGCATTGCTTTCATGTTTATGAAGTCCACACGGCTTTAAAACCCAGAAGATCAACATTTACAAATGTAAAGAAGTAATACAATAAATGCTTCAGTTAATGTTTAAACAAACGTGTGTTTACGTTCGTATTTGTTGCTTTCATGCGAAATTATGATGGACGTTTTATGTTATGAAGTTGCGTGTGTGGACTTTGCAGTCGAATACTGACGAGGACGCTAGAGTTTAATATTACATCACAAGATAGGAGGACGCTGGGGAAGCTATTTCTAGTTTAAGCGCACCAGCGTCACTCATATAGCTCATGTGTGAGTTCACATTCCATTGGTGTAATTTCCTGAGAGCGTCTTTTTTACACATGGTCCGCGTTGCATTAATGTGTACGATTTGTTATATCGATATTATGCCATTGCTCCCACACAACGTGGAAGGTTTAGACGTCAACGTCGGATAGGGTAGAATGTAGAATTCTTATGCCGAATTCTCTCGTATGAAACACCTAAATGGTTGATACAACGTCGCTGTCGGGTGATTAGGAGTTCTTGGGCTCAGATTTTCAGTCCGGAAGACTGACGATAACCAACGTTTCACCTGTCTTTTTAAATTGACCTGTTATTCGGCTGTGTAATCAGAGCTGTTGGCAGCGTCGTTAAATAAAGAACTGAATAATTAGACAGGAATTGTAAACATTTGACCCATATTAAAATGGATCATTGAGGTGGTGGGTGGATGAATATGACCCTGGATCTTATCCAACTTCCGACTTGTTTAAGATCCGTATTGAACTTAACAGACTCTGTTGCTTTAATTGGTTTGTGAGTTTCGTTAGGTCTGTGTCAAATAGCTTGGAATGCCACGGTATGCGAATGTTGAATCATGGGATATGTGACATGCAGTGGTCTTGGCCTATTTTGAACACGTTCTACGAAATTTTATGAAGGTTCTAAGGAAACCCACGAAATTGTGGGTAGTCTGTTAACTGGGACAAGTTTTTACCCAGGAAATAGGATTCTTTAGGGCGTTGAGATAGTGAAATATAGAACCAGCACCGATTTGATAGTTCTGGCGCTGACGGGACCGGGAGACGTCAGCGTTGTCGAAGGTAACAACCTTCCTGTGTTGTCGATGAATAAAAAAGGACGGTTTTGTGACAAGTGGCTGAAGTTATCGAATGGGAACTTCGATGTGTTCTAATGCGAGCAAATGACATTGTATGTTGAGAGACGCCACTGATAAGCGTGTGTGAACAGTGTAAAAATTTGCAACAAATAATACTGGACGAAGGAAGTTTGCTGTTATAGAGTAACAGATGTTAAAAACACATTTCACATCGTTGTCGCTGGAAGTTTCGAATGATTTCATCACATCAAAGACCGCCAATCATAGATCCCATGAGTACCTTAGTGTCTCCGGGAAGGGTTTTTTTTGTGTGTTCCCGTCAGAATTTGAAATTTTGTTGATAGGTCACATGACGGCAAGGCCGTATGAATTGAATCTCTATCAGAATATTTAGATTGTGATCAGATTGCATATTAATTGAGGGATTTGGATATAAATAATGTCGACATTTATGTAAATAAATACGTTTATACTTTGGCTGAGGTACTTCGGTCTTAATGGGAATAATTTATGGCATAATTTAGTCAGAACAAGGTGAAATTGCTATTGCCGAAAGGGCTACGCTATCATTCAGGTTTTTGGTCTTATAAAGAGGGGGCTAGACGAGACCTCGAACAAGCGGAGGTTTAGTTCCACGGCCCCATAGGTCTTTATGACTTGGGGAAAATTTTATTTCTACCTTTTACAATCTAATTTGAATGAAGTTCGCCGATTATCCGAACACGGATCTTCGAAAATGGCATCTGCTATTATAGTGAAAGTCACGGAATATGCGCAAAGCAGTTTTCGAATTGTCCCGGCGCTGCAGCTCGCCGGCCCAGCAGTGGAATATTCCACTCGCCAATACAAAGCCCTCCCCCACCCCTTTCCCTTTGGGGACGACACGTGTTCTCTCTCGCTCCCCCTCTTCAGTGTTACAGGGTGGAAGATGGGGGGCGAAACTTTCCACGCATGCTCACAGTGGACAGTCTCGGGGGAATTGGAGTGGCAGTTTTGACCCCTGCAAGTACGGAGAAGTAATTCGTCCTGGCTTTTTATGTTAATAGTTTCAAACCTGCCGGTATGAGATCTGAGGCTCTCATCGCAGTCCAGATGTCCTTTGGGTAATGACGACGTGTGGATTTGTGGGTAGGTACCGACGTTTCGGAGAAAAATTCTGATTCCATCTTCAGGGAACGTTTTCTGCCTACAAATCCACGGCGCTGATAACCGGCATCGACTTTTTTAAAACATGGCGGACGTTGTGAAGCGTTGTATGTGATGAAGTTAACGCAATCGACATCTGTAGGCATACCAGTGGAAATTAATTGATTACTGACTGCGAATTGTCAGCTTCGCGATGTAAAGTCAGTCCTCTGGGATGTTGCGTCTTGTAATGTCGCAGATATTGACCGACGTTTCAGAGGTCGTGATTATGGAGGCAGTAAGCACATCTGAAATGTCGGTCAATGAGGCTACACGGCGCAAGATCTTAGAAGACAGTCATCTTCAAATGATTTTTGGCAGCATTGCGTTTAACATAAATTTCGAATAAGAACTTTTAATATTTTCTTTTCTTTGTCTACTTCCATTTGCATGCAGAAAGAAGTGGAATGTGTAAAAATTTCCGCTCTGTAACAACCAGTCAGGTCCGTCCATATTTGATTAGCGCGATTAATATTTATTTAATCCTATTATCCGAATTTAGCCTGTAATTACGGGTTGTTACCGTGAAGACCAATTATTATCATCTGTGATGCGCTGAAAACGGCGATATCGAACTGAGATGCAGACGTGGTTATTTTCTGGCTCGTAAGAATAAGGCAAACGTCGAACTAGGCGTAAGTGGAGTGGTCACATTCTTGATGTGAGTACGGACGGGACGGGAAAAAGTTCTAGGTCCGTGGATACGAAATATTCGCCGACGAGAGAATCAGAAACATTACATTTCGTAACATGCTTCTTGTTTTACGGCGAGGTGTTTCTCTCCATCCGTTCCCAAAACTGGTGGAACACCCCATGTCGGCTGTCTCAGACTGCCTATACGGTATATTTATAGCTACCCTCCATACTAGGTGGCCTTCGAAAAATTCATAAGGACACGCTGTGTTGTTCTAACAAGGGGCCTACTTAACATGGTGGATTCTTGACAGGTGATTTATTCTTCAACAGAATAAACTATTCGAGTGGTCTGCATACAATGGAATTAGTTGTTAGTTAAGTTGCTGTAAAGTGACGTGTACGAAGTTCTTCCAGTTTGCATCCTTGGGATGGTAAGTGCTTCTTTTATTATTTAGAAGAATGTGCGTGGTAGCAGCTTGGCCCATTCCACAGAAGACTGCTTCCTTTCTTTTCCATTTGTCGTGGAGGTCTGGGAAGTGAGCTGTTTTATCGGCCGGCAGAGGGGGAGGACAGCCAAACCATGAATGAGTTTCGGAGGGAAAGGCTCAGGGACAGGGAGAACATGAGCACAGAAATGTTGGGGTGGGAACTTGAGCTACTGAGATCATAAATGACCTAAGGTATCTGCCCTTTGTGAAAGAGCAGAGCTGTGGCAGAGAGCATGGCAACTCAAGGTCGCGAGTAGGGGAAGGAAGTTGTGGAATTTTCCCGCCACGGGAAACAGTTTCGTTTCGTAATGGGGTCTTTGGGAAACATTCCTCCTTTAAAAATTTGGACTGTTCTTCCACGGAGATAAAACATGCAAGTAAATGTTTCTGTTGACATCCCTGGATACATTTCTGAGATGCTGTTATGTCTGTAGATGTTTCGTGTTTTTTTTCCATTTCATCATGAGTCCTCAATTCAGTCCTGGAGATGGAGGCAAGGGGTCGCAACCATAAGACCAATATTTATGTTTTTTTTGCATGTGTTCATCTTCAATGTATCGGTAATTTGGAAGAATTTTCTCCCAAAGTGCTGCAGTGGTCTAGCCCTCAGTGACAACCTGAACACCAAATTTTGTAGAAATCCATTTATCCACTTACAGTTATATGGCCTAAACAAGTTTGTGAGGTCCCATAAGGTGTCCTTTGCTCTTGCAAAAGTGTAAAGAATACTTGAAAATAAAGCATGTCATTTTCAAGTGTTTTCGCCATCCTTACATTTGACCTCCTGAACCTCATAATAGATTTATATTAAGTCTTGTTCATTAATATTACGCTTTCAAACAGGTGCGTTCCTGATTCCCTTTGCTGTGATGCTCATCCTTGAAGGAATCCCGCTGTTCTTAATCGAGCTGGGCATGGGACAGAAAATGCGACTGGGCTCCCTGGGGGTCTGGAACACAATCCATCCATGGCTTGGAGGCATCGGAATCGCCAGTTGCATTGTCACCTTCTTTGTTGCGCTGTACTACAACGTCATCATCACTTGGTGCTTCTACTACCTTTTCAACTCAGTACAGGTAAAATATAATGCACTATGTCAAGAAAACATAATTTGTCTTCTACAACATATAGATAAGCTTATTAAACATGGATTTGCAAATTCATTCCCAGTAGGAATGCTCAGTTTGTAATTTACCCGGAGTGGAGGGAAATTTATAGGAACAACACCAGCACGGCCGTTGAGGTGGCCACGTGCATTTGCACAACACAGCGGATTTCTGTGGGAGGTGGGAATTGAATTCAGAACATAGTTTTAGTCAGTAACTCACCACAAAATTTAACTCTGGTGTAGTTAATAATGGCTTATCTAGTTCCTTTCGTGTCTGAGGTTAAGTATGAGACAGAGCGTACTCTGTAGCCTGATTGGTTTCTGTTAACCTAGAAAGCAAGTATTACGACAGTGACAGCTATCTCTAAGAGGTCTCAAACCAAAATGGTTAGAATGCTGGGCTTGTAATACTGGGGTCCCGGGTTCGAATCCCGGCGGTGCTCAGATTTACAACTGGTGTTGGGCAAGGCCGTGGTCCAGGCATCATGGAGTACTGGACATGAAAAAGAAGACTGCTGTAGTATGGTACAAAATAAAGATCTTGCAATTTTTTAGCACCATGCTATTGAATTAGAATATATGGAATGAAAGTATTCAATTACTATAACATTCATACGAAATTTATGTGGCAAGATGTTATATTATTTCAGGTAAATGGTCATTCTGTAACTGTCCCACAAGGACTAAATCTGTAATATTGTCGATAATATAAAAATAAAATATTGTGAAAACACATTAATTATGCATACCTGTAAAGGAACAACAGAGTGAAGTTAAATATGTCTTTGTGTGTGTTTTGAGACGTGCCTGAAATATTCTTCTGTGACCAAATAGGGTTAAGTAAATCTGGAACGTTTCGTAGTATAAGCTTCTGGGGTCGGGGCAATGTATGCATACACAGGGCAGCAAAAAATCAAGAAGGATCATGAAGAAAATAAGAAATGCACAGATCAGTCTGATTAGAAAAAGCCAGTTGGGACCCTTGTCATGAATGGGAGGATCTTAGAGAAAATTACTGCGAAATGTGTTTTTAATTAGCTTACGATAAGGCCTTCAGTATGCCTTTTAAGAGTTCCATGACACTGGGGAACGTCTTGAGTAGATGGATATACTGATCTATTATCTCCTCAGGGAATGTCCTGTGCTCTTGAGTTAATAACTCCATGATATTTTCACATTTTTATAATATATGTGATATCTTTTCCCATAGAGTCCGTTACCGTGGTCATATTGCCCAGAAGTAAATGGAACAATTGTTGCTGAATGTGCAAAGTCATCAGAGACTGCGTATTTCTGGTATCGTACAACGCTGGATGCAGCACCAAATATTGATGACAATGGTGGTCTCAAGTGGTGGATTGTCATCTTACTGCTCTTCGCCTGGATAATCGTCTTCTTCATTGTAATGAAGGGCATCCAGTCCTCTGGAAAGGTGACCGATTGTTGGTTGGAATAATGCATATCATTTTGAAAGATGAAACTAAATTATTTGTTATGTATTGTATGAAATTAATCTAATTAGGTTAGGCCTAGGATAAGTATCTAATTAGACAATCTTTTAAAGTGGTATCCCATGCTGTTAAGAACAGTTGGATTTCTGTAAGAATATGTACTTACTTTTTCCAGCTTATTTAAGATGCAGTCAAGCTCGGTTATAACGAGATCCAAGGGACGGAGGTGATCTTTATATCCGTTATTGTAGCTTAATGTTTCATACCGATACAGAAAAATGCCATTCTCTCCCTAGGTCTTCTGAGAATCCAAAACATTAGGGAAGAGAGGATTAAGAGATTGGGGAAAAAACTAAAGACTCAATGTCACCTGTACCCGCAGCATAGGACATGCCCTCTTCGAATGAGGCAGCGATGTAGTGGAATCATTCTGCCCTCCCCCGCCATGGGTAACCATTTGGATCACTATACATTTTCCCCGATACCTGAGAGCCCCTGGGCACCCCTGCCACACAGGGTCTGCGGGGATTTCCGCTACACCATTGGAACTAGGACTATGCTCTTCGTGAGTAGTGTACTGCACTAAATGAGATTCTGAGAACAGAAATCAAACCAAACACATTATGAATGTTGGCTATAAATGTCGTTAAAAGGGTTATAAATTGTTATCGACAGGGCGGTGGGAAGAGACAAGGGGGAGAATGTCATGAATGGGCAAAACCATAATAGATCTTAGTCTCTCATGTGGCAGTTCAGCCACTGCTCGTTATAATGGCTTAAAGATTTGCTCATTATACCTGTGAAGCTCTCAACTACCGTGTTCGTTTTAACCGTGAAATGTTGCTCATAAAATACATCATTTCCAATCAACTCTTCTCTGTTTGCTCGCAATAGCCGAGATATCATTATAACCGTGCTCTTTATAAACGAGTTTGACCGTATTTAAATTTACAGAGCAAACGTTATATTAGTGTTAAAAATTGTTTTATCATCATTTCCCCTTACACCACAGAATTAAGACTTGAGAATTATGTGGGGATCTGTGTGATCTGAAGTAAGATTTCCTGTGTATTTCAGACAGTTTGAACTGGTTCTATTGAACACGTTGTTAATCTTTAATCTGTTAACCTTTAATCGTGTGAGTACAGGGGAATTATAACCCTGAACTAATGGGCTACCAGCCAGACATTAACTATGGGAGTTTTAACAGTTTAGCACTATGCTTTCTTGAGTAATAAACTGCAGAATTGTGGGACTGTTAATTTATCGAAGCTAGAGGATGATGATGACAAAGATAAAGATACCACCTGAAGATGGCCGTCTTCTAGGTTGTTGCACCCTGTTGTCTGGTAGAAGTTTACTGACATTTTAGAGGTCCTTGCTGGCTCCATCATCAGGACCTCAGAAACGTCAGTAAACCTCTACCAGACTACATGGTGCAACAGACCAGAAGACAGGCATCTTTAGACTCACCACCAAGAAAACCTCAAACCCCACAAGATACCACCTACAACAGTAATAAGAGTAGTAACAGTATCAAATTTATTAGGGTCATAATAATACAGGGCAAGTCTAAATGATGTTCCCGATTTGAATCACATGTTACTCAAGTTTAATGAAATTCAGATGCACAAAATTGGTACCGATGGAAAGAGAAACTCTCCAAGTTTATGTTAGTACACTTCGCGGCCGCGTAGTAACACTGTTCGCCGCCAGGGGCGATATGAGAGAAAATGGCTTTCTTTCTGCGTGAGTATGCAAACTCTAATGGAAACCGATGGTTTTGTGGAATCCTTAGTGTTTAGTGACGAAGCCACCTTCCACCTTTCGGGTACGGTTAACAGACAGAAACAAAACTTGCATAATGTCTCTTTCCATTAGTACCAATTTTGTTCATCTGTGTTTCATTAAACGTGAGTAGCGTGTCTTTCAAATCGGGAACATCATTTAGACTTGCCCTGTATTAGTAGTGTCAATAGTGATAGTGTTCTGCCAGCACCACAGTCGCATTGTCTCTGACACCAGGCTTTGCAGAACGACCAGTAACTACTTCAGTATGTTAAGATTGTGGTCTTCTGCGTCACACTGTCGGTCTTCTGGTTATATACTGTCATGCTGGAGGAACATACAGCCTGCATCTAGGGCTTCATTTAATACTGAACAGTGGCCCAAAAGACCACAATCTGAACTCGATATATTTGTTCCTCGCCCTTTTAGCCCTGCTATTTGTGTTCCAGGTTGTGTATTTCACTTCAATGTTTCCCTACGTTGTGCTCACCATTTTCTTCATTAAAGGGTTAACTTTGAAAGGGGCCAGTGCTGGGCTTATTCACATGTATACACCAAAAGTAAGTAAAATACTTTCAGGTTCTTAGTTACCATTAGGGTTGCCACCACCTTCAGGTTTATTGAACGTTCAATCCTGGATCTTCGGGGTTTGATTTATGAAATTTTCAGGCGGTAGGGCATGGGCGGCGTAAATAAAAAGGCATTGCTTATAGTTAGTAACATCCACATTAAAATATTAGTGCTGTGCTTAACAGGGACAGAAGCTGCATGCAACCACCCCAGAAATAAATCAAACCCTGGAATTGATCCGGCGAGGCAGCCAAATATTACAAATTTTAGAAAATAAATTGACTTGTTGCTCTGCATTTGGAACTTTCTAAAGTAATTTTTATGATTCATGCAAATAATTAATAGTAGATATGCTATGGTTATTTCAAATGCGTGTACCTATTAAGAATATAACATTTTATTCTAAATTTAAAAAAGAAAATTAAATATCGTAGTGTAATAGGAGGACAACAAAGAAACAATTGTCTTCCTTTCAGTGTAAATTCTCTTAGTTTATCTGACATAACATTTTGAAATCACAAATTCTTATTTGGTCTTAGACAAAATGTCACAGGGATAAGTCCTATCTGAAATTCCTCATTTCATTTGGTATGTCTGTGTTACCGATTCTTTATAAATTTGCAGCATTCGGCTGTTGATGAACTGGAAGGTAATGAGAGGATTTTAGTTGTAACTGATGATATACAAATATATAGTGTGTAATTTAAGTCAACCAGTTTTCCAAAAATTTGCTGTTTTGGCTGGATTTGCACAGAAATTTAGATGTTCTGAGTAATGATTTCACTTTCTCGTCATCAAATTTCAGTTTTTGTATAGGCGTACTGAATCATGTTAAGGTGGCAGCCCTGCTTATAAAATACAGCATGTTTAGTCTGGTAAAAGCAGTGAAATGGTGCAATTGGTCCTTTGAATAAAGCACATGGATTTGCTTATCATACCCATTAAAGTTCATGGTTACAAATTAATACTCCATTTCATCTCTTAGTACAGTAAAACCTCAATCAGTTCACCTGGCATGCTACTATGAACTGTGCCGATGTATTTCTGTGGCACTGAGAAAACTGTGAGCAATTACAAAGAAAATCTTAATGAAGATTGATCAGTACATCTTTACATTTTGTATTTCAGACAAAAAGCAAAATGTATGAGTGATGGTAGACGCGTAGTTGACGTTTGTTCTTCCATCGATTTCTAAAATCATCAAATGTGGAACATTGTTTCCATCTTTTGAGCTGGTCTTGCAAAGTCTTGGGAGAAGTTAAGGGCTCAGACACCACATTAAGTGTATGTGGTACCATAAAAATGTGATTTGTCATTTCTTCTGATAAAAAATTGTTAGTAACACAGGTTGATATGTGAATCTTAACCATGGAATGTAATTTTTGTTGGATTTATTTTTGAACATATCTGTGATATAGGCTTAGAAATAGTTTTCACAATATGACTGCCATAACTTTTATAACTATTTAACTTTTCTCAAATTGATGTTGATCAGAGACGTACAGTGACTGAACATTGTTCTAGGAACCCTAGGAAACTTGTGAGATTTGAGATTAATATGATGTTCTTCTGAATATGGTCATGTGCCATCAGGAGATACGATTGTTTTGGAGAAACAGACTGTCTCCACTTCAGAGCATAAGTCTGCATGGCACCAAAACCCAGAAGAACATCAACATGGAAACTTGTACTGACTTACTACTTGTTGAAACCACATTCTTGAAGTCCAGTTGAATATTACCTATTAAATTGCACAAAAAACACTTTTGTTCACCTGAACTGGTCAAAAACAGTGGGTCAAAGAGGCACTGTGTTAATGTAAGGGTGCATAAATTTGTTTCAGTACAGTTCAGTATGTAGAGTATGTGAAGAAACATACTTGGTGAAATTGTTGTTAGAGGGATTTTTATGGAAACTGGAAAATATAATAATGCCTTATTGAGAATATCAAGTCTTTCTCATCTTTCAACTTCCGAACTCATTCAACTAACTTCTTCTATCAGTTTTAAAGGTTTTAGCTGTGTTTGCCACTTTCAATTCTGTGACTGGGCCCTTCACAAAGAAATGATTTGAAAATTGAGGTTTTACTGTTGTCTCAGTACCTGACACTGCTGGTTTCTTATGAGTGATTTATGTTTGAGGGTTTTAAGGTCAGTGCTGTTGGTTTAATTGGTAGAGTGCTCATGAATTGTGAATTTGTAGGGATTAGAAAGGAGGTGTTAATGGCCTGTTTTAAGGTACTATCCCAGAATTCGGCTGGAGTGACTGAGAAAAACCATGACAAATCCCACTCAGGATAACCAGCTGCAAGATTTGACTCTCCCGAATATGAGCAGACATGCTTCCGCATGGCTACCACGCTTGGTAAATAAAGACTTAGATTGTAAAAGGCTCTTCTAACACATTGCACTATGACCTGTCATTTCTTCTACAAGATATGTGATCATTACACAGACAACATTATCATTAGTTACTCTGTTTTTAAATACAAAAATATTATTTCAGATATTCATTTATTGATGTGAAGCAGATGTACTCAAATTCTAATGCTTGCCACATCACAGTCATGGGCATCCAGTATGAAGTTCTAAAGCACTTAAGTGACCTGGCAGTGTCCAATTAAATTTCTAAAAACAATGACATATACAAATTTTAAATTTCTTGTAATGCCAGTTTTTAGGGTTCCAAAGGAACAGTGGTCCTTCTTTGAAACCCCAGTTTTGCAGCTTCTGTCGACTTGTAAGATGTAGGTGTAGATGGGAGAATAACATTAAAATGGATCTTAGGGGTATGGGGCATGGATTGGATTGATCTGGCTCAGGACAGGGACTGGTGCAGTACTGCTTTGAACGTAGTAATGAATCATCAGGTTCCATAAAAGGCTGGTAATTTTTGGCTGAGCATACTGTAAGGTTTTCAAGAAGGACTCTGCTCTGTGGAGTTGGTTATCCAAGGCATTTAATTATTAGTTGACTAGTTTTCATGAAAATAAGAATGAGCATCATGTCATTGGAAACTCTACTTTTCCCATCTTGGCACTTTTTGACTTCCCGCCATCTGGTGGCCATCATGAGATGAAAAGAGATATAGTACTGTTCAGTGTAGTGTTGATATATTTTACATAGGTTTTTGAAAAATGTGGAAGTTTTATTTTAACAATTTTCTGTGAAAATACAAATTATCAGGGTGGAAAAAATTCAAAATAATTTGTTGTGATTGTGATGAGTGGTGAATAATTGTAATGTGACATTTTGTAAACATGCAGTGAGTACATGTAACATTAGAATGTGCAAAGAACCCTGAAATACACTGTGTCAGTGCTGAGCACTAGTGTAATATTTGCAAATCAAGTTAATTTAGATTCTTCGTGGATGTTAACATTTTAATATGTTACTAATTTCTTGGTCACTGATCATAAGTTTATCAAAATAATAATATTTTTAAAGTACCAAATATGGAAGCAGAATTTATCAAAGTAGTCTGTACTTGTGGTTTCCAAATCAAGGTTTACTTTCACATGTGCCTCTCCCCAACAAAAAGTTATGGATGCCCATGGTGTGGGTCACTTGTAATTCGAATATGCTTCTGAAAGTATGTAATTACCTTATAAACTAAGAAGACTTGGGTGAAAAGAATGTAACATCATATAAATTTGTTAGAGAATGTTACTTTTTAACAGAAAGTATTATTTTAACTAATAAACGAAAAGTATACAGTTGTAGGTGTTGTAAGATTTTTTTAAGTGCAGACCAAGAATACAATAATGTAAATGAAAATCCTGTTTACTACTTCTTTTCCAGGTAAAGTTTCTGTAGCCATGAATGTCGTGATACCCTCCATTGTTCCTATCACTGCGCTTCTGATGACCCTTCATCTCCTTTGCTTGATAATTACACGGTATAAGGAAACAACTTTTTTGACATTTTTAAGAGACTAGAAACAAAGTAGTCAAAGTAAAATTATATTTTAGCAGCATTTGTTTGTCTCTTAAGGCTACAGTATGTAGTGTTTTTAAATCTGATACGTGCCGCATTACACAGAAAAATTATTAACTTTGTATTTCAGCAATTAAACTACTGTTCCTGGGTGGTTATGTATATGAGCCTGCTCGTTGCTCTCCATCCATGTAAAAATGAAAGGCATCTTATTTCTGTAAAAGTATAAGTTAAAAAAATCATATCTTTTTTCAACTCCGTAGTCATATAACGATGTAGTCATACATAATTTTGAGATATTTTCCTTTAATTACTATTTTTGGGTTAAACATTAACTCTTCCTTCCTGCCCTAACCAGTATGCACTATCCTTTGTGTACAAGTGTCTGTGTATGTATGTGAATAATAACCAGCAACCGAGTCTATTGTGATTGGCTGTTCCATTAATCAGTTTCTATGTTCTTCAGTATGTTCAGTCACCTAACGTAGTAATACAGTATTTACCTTTATCTAGTGTCTTTACACTCATTGTAAAGAAACATGTATTATAAATTTACATGATTTTGTGTGTTTCAGGTAGAAAAGTTATTGCAACCTACAGTGTGGCTGGATGCAGCCACCCAGGTCTTCTATTCATTTGGATTAGCATTTGGCTCTTTGATAGCATTTGGCAGCTACAATCCACCCAAGAACAACTGTGTCCGTGACGTGATTCTTGTGTCAGTAGCAAATGCTTTCACTGCTATCTATGCGAGTGTTGTCATATTTTCCATCCTTGGTTTCAAGGCCATGGCAAATGTTGATAAATGTGTAAACATGTGAGTAATATTTGATAAAGCACCAATGTATAACATGATTTTACCTACTGTTTTGGCATTACTGGGGTGTGATAAATATTTTAAGTGCCATGTGACTTGTACAAGGAAGATACTAAAAAATGTTTATGCGTTTGAAAGGGTCTGTATCACATTGTAACATTAGCAATTAGAATTCTTGAACATCAGAATAATTATTAACCACTTAAGGAATGTGTTAGTACCACAATAAGTGAGTGAAGTGGTTGCATGATTTGTCTTTTTCATTGTCAAAGTGTTAACCCTGTAAAGCCGAGTGGTAATAGTATGTATTGCCTGATTTAATAGTCGGTAACTCTACATTTTACTCACAGAGTGTTATGGATTTCATGTGATTCTCAAAATAAACAGCAAGTATTTCATCTGTTTAATAGAGGCTGATTGTATTTTCTTTTTAGTAGGGCGTGGTATTTAGGTGTTATTTAAATGAGCTGTGGCCTAAATATCATTAGTTCAGATGAAGATGAATACAATCAGCTGTTCTGCAGCCATCACATTCTGATAGCATTGTCTTTTCTAAGAGTATTCCAAAAGATAAAAGATTTCATTGTCTTACACTGACAGTTCCTTAAATATAAGATACATCCTTTGTTATAGGAACAAGGAAATATTGGTTCATTTAGGCATGCTCAGTGACATGAATGCAACAACAGAACAGTATGAGGCTGCATATAAGAATGTCTCCAATGCCACATTTCACTCTTCTGGTATGGAAGTGTGCAGTTTGGAGGAGCAGCTGGATCAGGTCAGAAAATTTTTTGCTTTGAAGTCTGAAGGTTTTTGGTGATGGTATGTTGTAACATGTACAAATGTTCTTTTGGGCTTTGTCCATCGTCTAAAATTATAAAATAATGTAGTGTTTTGGTAGCTGGATTCTGCTTTTGTCTTCAGGTGAAAAAGGTTGACAGAGGACAGCATTCCTGTCTGTTGTACCCCCTGCTTGAACTATCATCAGACCTGGACTAGATCCATGTTCTCCTTTTTACCTGAAGATGGAAACAAAATCCAACTTCCAAAACATTGTAGTTTTATTTTATTTCACAATCTGGAAAGTTGATGGAAGTCCAAAAGAACAATTTTACATATTATAATGTTATTTTTAACATTCCTTGTAAATCATTTGGCTGTTTAAACAAATGCATATGCAAAAAATAATAATTTATCAGTAAATTTTAGTAAAGGTCTTTCCTACTAAATTTAAGCATCACTTTCAAACTTCTTATAGACAGGCACAGAAATGTATGTGTTGCTGTAGGGATTATGATTAACCGTGCAATGAATGATCATTATGTCATACTTCCCAGTATCGGGCCCTGTTGGTTTGTTATACATATAGGAATTGCAGAACAGAATATTTCCCTCACTTCAGATATGTTTTCTTCCTCTTAGTTCATCTTTTTTAATGTTTGGAGGGATACTATAAAAGGCCTTTTTTCAGTAGATATACTGTTTCTAATTTCTTCTACAGTAATTCTGCCACTGTCACATATTTTTTAAGTTATGAGGGGTGTAACCTGCCATCAACCTCACAAAAAACATTTTTCTGCCATGTGGCTCAGTAGCCCTGGTCCATGCTTCAGTCTCATATGATGTTTGCCCATCAAGTGTTTTATAATACTTACTAGTTCTTGTATTGTCCCGCGCCATAGCCGCACGGTCTGAGGCATCATGCTTCGGACCGGCGATACAGAATGCGTGCTGGTTCGAGTCTCGGGGAAAGAAATTTCTCATGAGATTTTTGACCAGTGTATGGGACCGGTGCCAACCCAGCATCGTGAGGAAATTGGGGAGCTACAATGAGTAGCGTAATCCGGTCAGGAAAACTAGCAATGGCTGGGGGTTTGTCGTGCTGACCACACGTCATCCTATACCTGGTTGGATGATCGTTCACCTCTGCTTAGGCATGTGAACGTGAGGCCAGCAGTCAAGCTAGTCGGCTTTGGCTCTCATAGGGCTGTTATGCCATGGAAAAAGAAATTCTTGTATTTCTTGGGGCTAGCAATGATTCCAAAATGTAATATGTGGTATTCTTAATTTTAAAACTTTGGTCGCATGTTTAATAATTTCATCCTTGCCACTCATTTCATTTCACTGTTTTTATCGGTTAGGATGTACAATCTTGTGCTATTCAAGTTTGGATCTCTAAATGCAAAATGTCATTCCAGTATTGTGTGTTGTGTTACAGGCTGCGGAAGGGACAGGCCTGGCATTCATTGTATTTACTCAGGCCATTGTGGAGCTGCCAGGAGCCCCATTCTGGGCTGTTATATTTTTCCTCATGTTGTTGGCACTGGGCCTGGGCTCACAGATCGGTATTCTGGAGGGCATGCTCTGCACGATCTTCGATATCGACATCTTCAAGAGGATTCCCAAACAATATGTGACAGGTGTGTTGGCTACCATGTATACAAGAAATTTAAATACTCTGCAGTGTAACAGGAGAGCATTTACTGTGTTATAATGTTAAAAAAATCCTAAACTCTGTACCATATCATAAGTTTCCAACTTTTGTCAGTGTATGGCTGTATTTTGTAATGTTTTATAATTGTTCGTTTCTCAAATGATGTGACTACAGAATGGAAATCAGTGTGTCACATTCTTTATTTCTAGGTGTTGTGTGTGTCACATGTTTCTTCGTGGGGCTCATATTCTGCACAGGTGCAGGGGAATACTGGCTTAGACTGTTTGATTCTTTTGCCGGCACAATTGGGCTTGTGTTGGTGGCGTTGTTGGAAACACTTGCAGTCATGTATGTCTATGGTCACAAGAAGTAAGTAATTTACTGCAGTAGGAGATATATCTATTATTTGTCTGTTGAACTATTCTAGTATAGCAGTATCAATTAGTTTTATGCCTTAAGAGAGCAATTAAGTCTGCTTAAGCCCTGACCTTTTGTGACAATTGTAAAGCTCTTAAAGGTAAAATTGCCAACAACTGTACTTTGTAAATTACTGGATAGTCAACAATAATAAACAAATATTGTACCTGATACAAAACCTAAAATATGTTCACAAAATATTTGTGTGCGTGTTATCTCTTATCACACTTATTCAGAATGGAAAATATTTGGTTACAATTTTATCAACTCTTCCCAATCTTGGCAGATTTTTTATATAACGAGTTTATAAAGACTTATTAATAATGATGGGACTAATTTTAGTTTTGTACTTTCATTTGAAAGAGTTTATACATTTCTCAGTTTTATATCTGTAAAACACACATCCTATAGGTTTGGGTGAATCCAGGAACGTACCTTGTTCATACGAGTAACTCGCATGCTATCTAAGATGTTTGTGTAAAAGTGCTGGATGTATGTCATATTTAAGGATCTGATTTGGGGAGCACAAAGTCTCGGAATATGCAGGACACTTATCAGCATCATTGGTACATCTTCAGACTTTCCCTCTTGTTGCAGTACAGCGTGAGAAGCAGGGCCGTATCGTCAATTGTCGATCATTGCAAGACAGTCCAGTCTTTGTTATATAACATCAGCCATACTGTTATTTCATTTGCTGCAGATTTTCATTCCCTGACCCCTGAGGCTGATAGGTGAGCCTATGTTTCAGATTCACACAAGATATAGAAGACATGACAGGTTATCGGCCTGGATTATACTGGCAAATCACATGGAGGTTTCTTGGCCCTCTGCTCATGACAGTTATTCTCATATCTTCACTGTTATTCATGGTCATCAACAAGCCAGAGTATCATGCTTGGAATGCAGATGAAGTAAGTAATATTGTTTAAGGTATCTTCGGGACATCATTTCCCAAATGTTACTCCTCAAATGCCGGTTCAGATGTGTTGAAGACACTATAAGTAACAGAGGTTATCAGGCATAATTCACATCCTGGGAGAATGATAGATGAATTTGGAGCATTTATGGACAATGGTTGCCATGGAATTGAATGTGGGACTCTTGGGAGCTGGATTAAGCTGGTTAGAGATAGTGTCCAGTGATTGACTTTTGTTATGATAGTAGTGAATGTTAGTGTTCCAGGACTGTGAACTTCTAAATAAAGTACATAACTATCAGCTATGTTAGAAAGATAGGAGGCCCTTCTGTCAAACTGTACGTATGGTGTAAAGAAAAGTGAGAAAAGAAGAGACATCTGATTGCACGTATAACTTGTATTTTACAGAAGTGTTCATCTACTGTGTTGCAAAAGTATTATCTTCTTCTAGGGTAAAACTGTCAAGGAACCATATCCTGACTGGGTGATGGTGATTGCTGGACTGATGATCACCGTGGGTGTTTTGCCGATGCCTGTCGTCTTTATACTGCGTCGTTGCCAGTGCCTCAAACTTGACCTTGACATCCACCAGGGCGCCATCCGACGTATTGACACGACTGTATCCACTAAGGAAATGATGGGAGATGTAGATGTGAGTTACCATTCTGTCTCTTACTTAGACTTTAGCAGCTCAGTAATGTCATGTAATTTGTTAAAATTTAAATGTGTGTGTTTTAGTTTCATGAAACATTTTCTCTGTTTATGAGCAAAATGAAGGACGGGTGGGAGATTCTGCAGTGATTGTTTATGTTCATAACATTATCCTTATTTTCCTAATTTAAATGCTCATTTGTGCTGACTTTTAAAACAGCTGCTGCATTGATTTTTTCTGTAAGCTCTGTAAACACATTCATGCTTCTGGTTAAATTTTGTAATTTGATCTTCTGTGTGTCTCGAAAGCTAACAGATATTTTGATAAATTGAACTGAAGTTATGTTTCCGATCATTGTGGAAGAAATCAGAAATTTTCTGCATGCATTATAAAATGCCTTCAGTGTAAGGGTTAAAAAGTGATATTTATGGTATGTAAGAGGGCCACAAGACAGCTTTACTGGCTAGATGTTTTGACAAACCTGGTCTATATTGTAGGTTAAAGCAACAGTGTAGTATCCATTTTCCTTGCTTGACAGATCAAGACCTTACTTTTGTGCCTGGAAAATGTTACTGTAATTGAAAAGATGCAAACTGAAACATTGTTCCTTGTAATAAATGGCTCTAAAGAACTTTTCTTACAGAAATGGCATGAAAGCTTACCATTCCAAAGAAGATAGATTTTGTATGGTTATTTTACAATGTATTATTGGCTGTTATAGGGAGTTGAATGACAAAGACCTTGGTTTTGAACCTTTCCACAAATCAGATATATATTACATGAAAATATTTTTTTTAAAAAATTGGCTAATACAAAATATATTTTGATATTTTTGGTGCGTTTTTTCCTTGATACGACAGAAAGATATAACAGATCTGCTATTGTGGATTAGTAAGTAGTAGGAGTATGTAGAAACCTGCAAAGTACATAACCAGTCTAGTAAGATGCATTGTGCTCCATTTGTCTGCTACCATACAGCTACTAGTAGGTGGAAAGGGCATAGAAGACATAAAACACTTAGACCAGAAATCATAAAATTTAGACGTAACATTTCCTTTGTTATATGTCCATTAATGAAGATGACTGAATTGGTGCAATTTCATATTATTTTACAAGTTTCACTCACAGTAAGTAGCGTTTATTTTATACTAAGTTGAGAAAAATACAACATGTAAAAGCAGCGTCACCAAAATATAAATGTTTCGTTTTGTATTAAAAACATGAATAGCTGATGACATAAAGGGCAGTTTTATTAGGGATTAGAATGTTTTATTTTGTATAGGTTGCATGGAAATCCTACTATGAGATTTAAATGCTGAAGTTGAATAGGATAGTTCTAAAATGTCAAGATGAAGCTAGATCGCATTCCTAACTATGTTTTTTCTAGCCCCGTCTTCTGTTTTGTGAGAATCTGTCTGTGTTAGTTATAGGCCGAACAAGAATTCGGTCCAGAAACAGCTGGTTCTGGTCGTTCCTCACCTGTTACCATGACAACACACTAACATTATTGCTAACCATTAACATCATGTGAGTTTTGCTCATTTGTTCATTCATTCACCAAGATATTTATAGGAATGAATGGCTCATAGAGTAGTGTTATAGTTAGTTCAAGCACTTTCCAGAGTTTCCCTGCAAACTGCATTAATTTTTGTAGTAGGAGGGAAAGCACATACATCCAGCATTACTTGTACCTTGCTGTACTGTAGAAGGGCATTGAGAGGACCAACATATTTGTGTACATTAATTTGGTTTTATTTATTGTTACATTATTCACCATATTGGATTCCATTTGTTTTAAACAGTGTAAGCATACTTTCACCTGAATATCACCAAAGAAGTTTTATTGATTTGTATGTCTGAATGAATTTTATATGAAATTTGAGTATTTCTAAAAACTGTATTTGCATTTAATATGTCTTGTGGAATGTAAATTAGAGATTATGGAAGTAGCTTTACTTGAAAGTACTACATGTGTTCTGTCAGGTTTAGATAGTTAGCAATTCCAGAAATGTGTACGGTGTCATAAAAATACAAAGCGTAGCATTTTATGTGCAGTGGCCGTAGCACCCAGATTGAGAGATGGTGGTTTGTTATTCTGCACTTGAGTTCAAAATCTGCGGATATTAGGATGTGTGAACTGTTCATTGCAGTGTAGCCTCAGTCAGAATTATATAGCATTAAAGAAACTCTGGAAAGTATTCAACTTTTTGTTGATAGAATATTGGTTATTGACCTGAATAGTCTGTTTAGTGTATATATGTACTTTGTTTCTGCATTGAAGCATGAAAAATATATAAATATGTCTGCATTCAAAATATGCTTTAAATGAGATGAGATGTTTTCTGCATTGTAGTTAGTGTATTTCCTAGAGCCTTGAATGTTTATGTGATATTTATTCCACTTTGTATATAAATTAAACAGCTTCATATCTGAAAACTAGAATTCAAAAACAGAACAAGAACTGAACGAGCAGGATGGTGACAGAATCTTATCTTATTTAATGGTGTTTTTTGTACTATGTAGATTACATAGCAGTGAATGATAGCATCAATGTGGATGAATTAGAAACTGTGGGAGGAATCATGTAAGATCTATTTTAAAGCACTATCCCATATCAAGATAGCTGGTATCTGGACCAAGTTTTGAACCCACACCCAGGTTACTAAGCAGTCATGCTAGAAAACCACTTTACCACCATGTTTGGTATAAGGCAGTATAGTCTGAATACTTTTTAGAAATGATGTAGTTCTCTTAGAGTAGATAAATGTTGCAGGTGATACTTCAAATAGGTCTTCCTTCAATGTCTGTCACTCATTACCAAAGGAAGCAGTAATTTCTATGAAAGTGAATTATTGAAATGAGTATTTGAATTTAACCTACAAGATGACAAACATGGACACAAATAACTACCAAATAGTCTTAGTATGTGCATGTGGCAAACTCGCTGTGCGTCTTTCGATATCAATTTGTCTCTAAAGCGATCATTATAAATTCTAAAAACATTGAGTAAATTTTGTTATAATTTCTCAGAAACGATCATTGCAGGAAAATTGTGGGCCAGGACTAAGATTTTTGAACGATTGATATGTTAAAATGACAGTTCGAGGAAAGATAGAAGAAGAAGAAGAAAAAAAAAAGTAACATTATTTTATATGGGACTTATCAGGCACCGAACGAAACAGACTATGCGTCCAAGAAAACGATAGTTCGAGGAACGATAGACAGGTTTCACTGTAGTGACTTCTTTCTCCTTGCCTGTATAATAACAAGGTTACGTTATTATTTGGTCCAAATTTCTTTATGAAGGTAGTGGTGTAACTTTTAGATAATTTCTGGAATGATAAAGATGCCAAATAAGAAGTGACTAGTAAGGTTCAAGTAACGAATTGCTATTATCCTGGACCACATCACTTTTTTGGGAACTTTGGTAAGTGTTGTGAATGTACATACAGGTGTAACAGTTTATAATTTAGAAGTAGAGGTCATTCCCAATTTGGAATGCTTTTATGGAATGAAATTCTGAAATGGAAGCATGGAGTACCAGATCCAAATGTGTCCTGTTTTTAAGGTCTTGCTATAGTAGTAAGCATATCATCATCTGTTATGGTGGTGGTGGTAGTTGTTTAAATTATTTTCAGTAATTAACAAGATTTGAATAATTGAAACATTCCTGTTTATAACAAATTCATTAAGACCTTTTCGTGTTGGAATGAGTTTATGGTGCATTGACTGCTGACTTCAATTGCATCCTAGTGAATGACATTACATTAGTGCCACAGTTGTTAACAGATGGATGATTGAATTTACTATACAAACATTTTCTTTTACTTTACTTATTTGTTAATTCCTCTGGTATGTGTCAGTATTCCTTGGTATTGGTAAATCTCCTAATTATTATTTGAACTAAAGAAACACCCATGCCTGTAACCTGGTGCCTTGTTTCATCACCTTACACACAGACACCATTTAAGAAATAAGGCCGAAGGAAGGTATCACTCTGGCTTGTCGTGTGTCAGCCTAATAATGCATTTTGATGTTGCAGTTGGATGAATACCATGATCTGCCTCAGGATGGATCTGATGACTTCAATGATGAGGACGATGAAGACGATGATCCGCCTGCACCTGTACCCACAAAAAAGCTGGGTGGAAAGAGCTTTCATATGCAGGTTATGGATGACTGAATAAAATAATAAATATTACAAATTCTGGAAATAATCTCTTTTGGGAAAGTATCTGGTCCAGTACAAAAGCAGCTGATCAGTAAGGTGTCTTAGTGCACGTGCCTGGACATGTATAGCTGATGTCACTTTCCTGATTTATGGTGTATGCAGCTTAGTATAATGAAGTCATAATAAAAACAAAATGACAGTGCACCATCACCTTTACTATGTACCATAACCTAACATGACTTTGAAAATGCTCCGGTTACTTTAAACATTACTGTATCATATTTAAAGGCAATGTATTTTTGCCTGTGCTCACTGTAATAGAGGCTAAATATACAGGGTATCAGAGCTTAATGCAATATGTATCATCACCAGCTGGAGAGTGACTTGTGCTATTCATGCTTTCAAGCCCCCGGAGAAGTGTGAGACACAAAGAACAGAGGCTGCAATTTCTGGATGTGGAGGATGATCCCTGGTGCACAATCATACATGTGTAGGATTTGAGTTTGTTGTGGCATTGTGAGTACAGGTGATGATGTAGGTTGTTGCATTGTGTAGTATTTTCATCGTGTACAAGCATTTCAGAGGAACATACTGCCTTCATTGTCAGGGTGAATATGGAAGAGATATGTTTCTCTAGCACAACAACCCAGAGGACCACTGTTTGTAATCGTGCGCATATTGTAGTGCAGTGGATTTAGGCCTGCGTGACAGCTTTGCGAGACATTGCCCATATTAATTAGAAATGAGACACATACTATAGTAACTGTAGTAACAAAAAGTTAATAGGAACTCTTACTAATGACTGTTTCAATTATCTTGAAGTGATGGAATCGTATTATCAGTGAGTTAACATACAAGACATTGTTTAAGTCTGTCTGATGTGATCACTCTGCAGCTACCCAAAATTCATGTGTCTTCCTTCGCAAAGTTATCAAAACTAAAAATCGCTAGGACAGGAGCAGGTGTACATTTATTTATATACAGCCATTTATTCCGGTCGGATGTGAATCTGAAACGTGGCCCTGGCATCATCTTTCACATCAAAATATAAAATAAGACAGGTAAGCTCACAGTTTTAAATAATTTTAGTCCTTGGCGTTCAGTATAGGGAGTTGGAAAGCAAATGCCACGTGTGTGTACATATAGAAAATATTTTTTATTGACAAAATTGTGGAAATTAATTAGAAACAGAAAATGCCAGTCTTCTGGGTTGTAGCACTATGTAGCATGGTAGAAGCTTACCATTATTTCACAGGTCCTTACTGCCTCCATCAGTGATCATTACCCTGGTGATGAAGCACTAAGGACCTCTGAAACATTGGTAAACTACCAGACTACATGGTGATACAACCCAAAAGACAAGTCATCTTTGCATTCACCATTGTGAGAACCTCAAATCCTATTCACATTAGGATGAAATAAATTTTATAGCAGGTGGGGTATGACGCAAACCACTTATTTACCTTCATGCCATCTATGCTTCTGCATACCAAACCTTCATGCTCCCTGTATGCCTGAATGGCATAGTTTATAAGGGCAACTGTACCTTTCCTTTGAGGTAGTTGTTCCTCTGTTGCACCAGATGTAGGAATCTATTTTACCAAGATGTTAATAGATTATTTTGAATAAGTTCCAGTTTACTGAGTAATGGAATGATCAAACTGCATTTGCATTATCAGTTGGATACAAAGTATAAGTGCTTGTAAAATATGATACTCATGTAGTTTAACCCATCCTTTCCTTTTTATAGGAGTAATTCTGTTTCATGATCACAATGTAAAGTATTACACTTTAAAGCAACTATACCAATTACTAAAGACAAGTGTATTGGGCAGAATTGACACAGAAGTGATATTTCTTTTATAGGAGATAAAGAGAACTTTCATTCGTTGTTGTTTTATAGGAAGAGAAAGAAGCAGAGTACAGTATCTTCCAAGTCATGATAACCATAACATGACTGCTCATAACATGACTTAATTTGTTTTTAGTATGTTATTAAAGTTTGCAACATAATGCAGAAGCAAATTGTTAGGTCAAGATTTCCTGGCATGTTTCCCATCACTGCTCCAGACGAAATGTAGAAAGGAAACAGAGATGAGTGTTTCTGTGTGTTTTTCTTCTTCTTCTTCTTAAAAAAACACCTTAATACATTTAGATTATTTGTGATAGTATGCTGTACAAACCAAATAAATTTTGTGAAACAAAATCGGTTCAGAAGGTTATATGGAGGCTTGGAATGCAGTCATATGAGACTAACATTGTTAAGACTATAAAGGACTTCAAAATTTATACTTTAATGATTAAAGCAAACTAAAAATAAAATAGTGACATTCAAAAAGGCTTCTGTCTTAATTCTTTGATGGAAGGGCAGTTGAACTGCATGATTTCTATAAGTATTTTAAGAACGGATGGGTACATGCAGTCTTGAATGTTTAGCACATTTAAAAGAAACATGTAGATTTCAACATAACAGATATCTTAATTTTGAAAACTGTGATCCCTGGAATTTATGTAAAAGTTTCTATGAAAAAGTGACTAGTTTATTAGTTTATTTTCTTGTGTCTTATGGTTATCTTGTCTTGGTAGTGCTACAAATCATTTGTTACTGTTCAGTTTCAACTTCTATTCCGAACGGTGTATATGGCTAATTTTTTTTTACAGACAGATAGCGTGTATTCCAGAATCATTTTGGTGTTTTCCATCACACACACACACTGTTTGACTGTTAATTTTTGTTACTAATTGAAACACCCTCTTTACTGGATAGCATTAGCATTTAGCATAACAGTATTTATCTTTCTTCCTACTCACTGTGCCTACTTGCAATTAAGTAATACGATTCATGACTACAAGAACATGAAATCAAATGCCTTAAAATATTTGGTAGCCATTTTGTTTCCTATTCATTTTGTGGGGTTCAGAGACTAGAGCAGTTTCTGACATCACATTTGCTTTTGTCTGATTGCATATACTTGTAATTTTATTTTACATTGAATTATTAACTAAGTAGCGTGTCTTAACTTACATGAACTGCCAACATACTGTTAACTTTAAAAAGCACTTAGGTGCTTGTTTTTAAGATTTGAAACTTAATTTTGTAAGTATTATTATATTTTAATGACAATAGTATTATTGTAAAAGAAAAGTTATCGTAAGAATACTCTTGCTTTAGTGTTTTTGTGACGTTAGTTGTAGTTCACATAGTCCTGTATGTAAGCATTACATTGGACCCTTAACATGGATTGTGTGAGTTGATATTTGAAACTTTACTACTCAGGTCTTCCAACTTGTGACCAGTCTTTGCACTTGCACTCCATAACCATTATCTGTAATGACTGAGTACTAAATTAAGGAAAATATTGTTGATATGATTTGAAATGTAATGACTGAGTACTAAATTAGGAAACAAGGAAAATATTGTTGATATGATTTGAAACGATTAAGGGTTTAGCTGTGGCCTTGGACTATGGGTCTGTAAAACTCTGTACATTTGTTCGGGTGTGTGGAACAGTTTTGTGATAGTCAATTTAGAATTGAAAAAAACTAATTACTAAGATGGCTGTCTTCTGGGTTGTTGCACCGCATAGTCTGGTAGTCATTTGTTGATGTTTCGTCAGAGGTGCTTGCTGCCTCCGTCATCAAGGCAATACTTATCACCCTGATGATGAAACCTGCAGACACCCCTGAAATGTCAGTAAACTTCTACCAGATTACATTGCACAGTGACCCAGTAGACAGCCATTTTCATACTTGCTGCCATGAAAACCTGAAACCTCATATTTATTAATCTGATGTACTTACTAGCAGGCAGTGTTACCGGTATATTTTGAACATCCTGTTGGAAATGACATGTTACAAACATGTATCTTAGAAACACTCACAGACTGTATAGTGTGTATCTTTAAACTGCCTTCTTTCCACTGTGAGCTGTATATTAACACTTTTGTTGTTCATGAAATCTGTTGTGTGTTGGCAATTATTTATATAATAGCCAGAATTCAGACAGGATTTCTTTCTTAAATATCTGGGTGTTCTACAGTTAAAACTTTAATTATTTCAGACATGTACATCATACTTCTGGTTTCAGAATTTCTATAATAACAAAATGGCATTAGTACAGCACTTTGAAAATTGGAAGTACAGAGAAAGGATTAGTACATACTGTCCAGCTTTTTGTTGGCTGCAGAGAGAGCAGTTCTGTTTTGTTCGTCTGAAAAAAAATCCATTAATTATTGCTTTATAATGTAGTTCTGGTAAAACTCAAATTTAGTTTAATGTAAAATATGTTTGGCCAAACTGTTTTCATGATCTCTCTTTTAAGATTTTGAGTTATTTATGGTAACTGATTAAGTTCTTCTTACAGATGTTTTGACAGCTCTTATGTTGATTATGCAGAAGCTCACATTTTAACTCTTTTTCCAAATTTTTAAACAGTTTATGTTATTTTTATTGCAAAGGTGTGAATTCTGGTGGATAATGGAAGAACACATTTTACTCCCTTGAAAATTAAAACTACAACTGTGCTTAAAGTGCATGAAACATACAGCATCCAAAAAAGGAACTCAGACATCTAGTTAAACATAGGAATAATTTATACTCTTGAATATGCATAAGAATAATTTATTTTTTTATATAGATCACAACAGTTTAGTTTGAGAATGTTATAATTTTTTTTCCTTCATAGATTTTCATTAACTTTGGTTGTGTGGCATTGATTATTCCTCTAAACAGATGACTGAAATTTACATTCCTCTCTGCCTTTTCTTTCACTTCAATAATGGTAAGTAAAACCACACTTGATGTATAGGTTTACTATTTAGGACATTATTCACATGGAGATTCAGTAGGAGTTTGGTCACTTGGCTCCAGCTACATTTAGGGTTGGTACTGTGCCCAACAGCTGTTCAAAATTAAATATTCTCACTGGACTGACCTGAAGATATGAGCCTTTGGAAATTGGTTGCTATATGTCTGGGACCACAGTGCTGTCGAGTGATGGCGTAGTCCAGCATAATTCTGCAAGTTCTTAGAATAAGTTACTTTGACCATCACAAAAATGGAAAGTAAATTTTATGTTTGTTTCATGTTGTTGGAAATTTTTATGCTATAAGGTTTTAACAATTCTCAGTAGAAAGAATTTATTTATTTAGTATTAAAATTGTAATAAACAGTAATCATAATGTCACATTTAATCTTTTTAAACAGAGTGTGATGTGCACAGGTCATCTTTTCAGGGAGTTGCTGATAAAAGTTTAATTGCAATTCTCCAATTCTTTTGCAATGTTTACCTTTCTTTGATATGTTAATTTGTGTGAGCTGTAAATGAACAGAGAGTAGTTAGTCTAAGTGAAACATTTGTAGTGAAGAAATGAGTTCCTAAAACTGTGAAGTCCATGATAGATTGGAAACTACCTCCGGAAGGATGGGAAAATAGAGAAGAATGGAAGAAAATATTAGGCACCGGAAGACCGAAGTAACGGTCAAGAAACGGAAGAAGAAGAAAACTGCGAAGTTGGATCGTTGAAAGACATTACTGAATAATCTATTTAAGTAGAACAGTTTTGTTCAATGTTTAATGATGTACTGATAGCAATAGAAGGGGTTTACAAATTCCAGAAATGTTTTACAGAGCGATCTTTGTAAAAAAAAAAAAAAGATAATGTGGCCTGCTAGTTCTGAGAGGCAGTGCAGGATTTTGGGAGTACGTGTTCACACATTTACTTGGGGACGAATACCGATACAAGCTGTAGTAAGTTCACAAAGCTCTAATAAACAAGGTGATGTTGACTGAAGTTAAGCAATGTTCTATTCTGTTTTATTCATATTTGCATAGCATTTCACATATTAAAACAATCTACATTATACTTGCAGCGTAAGTGTTGCTTGTTCCACAAACTCCTCATTGGAGTTACTAACTTATATCATGTTTATACATATTTATATACAGCATCTATGTAACAAAGACTCATGGAGTGAGACGCAACCCAGGGACTAGTCTTGCTTAAGGATGGAAGGGTTGTGGTAAATTTGCTAAAGCTATTGGAAGTGGAAAATCATCCTGAAGTTTGAATACTTGCACCAAAGTTTTTAAAAATTGACAAATTCTTTGCTTTAATGTTATTTTAAATTATATTCTTTGAATGTGGTACTAGAATTCAAGAACTTACAAAGCATATAATGAGATGTACTGATAGCTCAGTCAGTATAGTGACTAGCTACGGGCTGGACGGCCGGGGTTCGATCCCCGAAGGGGGCAGAGGATTTTTCCTCTAGCCTCCGCGTCCAGCTATACCTCCACTCACCCCAAACTCCTACATGGCGTATAGTGGGACAAACTTTACTTTTACTGAGAAATTGTGTAGAGAATGACATAGAACAGTTTTAAAATAAATAGCAGACTGCCTTCCTAGGCACTGAATAAGTCAGTGGTAATGGTGAAATGGTTACTGGTTATGTTTTGCAGTGTTCCTTGTTCCACCATTTTGAGGAGTGTATACAGAAATCTTGATCTAGATTGATTTAAACACAATCTTGTTCCCTAACTGAGTTCACATTATTTTGTGATTTCTACTTTCCTTGCAGTATGGATGTATTTAATTTCCTAACATTCTTACATTTAAGCACATCTTATGATAAAAACATGTGACTGAATTGAACTCCATGCTGGATTTGACTGTAGAAATTTACAATATTTTTAAGTACTGCATTTAAAATAATAACAAGAATAATATTTTTTTGTATACTGTGCATTGGTTATATTGTATGGAATGATAATGTAATTTTTTCATAGATTTATTGTGACAGTCATGGATATAATTTCTAATACTATAATCCATATTTCTGGAGATGTCATTAAACATCACTCTGTTTGTGAATGAGAATCCCCAAGTAAAATTTTATGATATGTATAATATATAAGGTAGCACATGACTACTCAATAGCAAATCTAGAGCTATAAGTGAGTGAGAGACTAGAACTATAAGCTGTTTCTTGCAAAATAGAAATAAAATTGAATGCTAAAGAACACAGTAAATGAATTGATACTTTTTATTCTTAAGTGTTTTACTGAAAGAAAAAGATGCCAAATCCTCACACTGAAGATTTTGCTGATCCACTTGTTACTTGTTTGTAGTAGAAATGCTATGACTAGAATAAATTTGTGTGGGATATTGGTAATTTGTTCTTTATCAGAATTCTAGTTATGGCGGTTTGTAATTCCCTTGCCAGACCAGTGACAAATCCAGCACGAAACCTATTACCAGCTATTGGATGAAGTCAACTGTAGGTATTTTTAATGGAATGAACATATTATAGGCCCATAAAATAGACATGGATAGGCATCCATATGTCGTCTATGTGAAATTTCAACTTTTAAAAGTTTCTCGAATTTTTCGAAAGTGTTTGGTTTTGTACGCTGTTCAGACAATTTTTGATTTTTCGAAAATTTTGAAAAATTGCAAATTATATCTGACCCATCCTTATCAGAACTACTCTCTGCCGGACCCGGTCTCTGAAACTGTCTACTTCACACAGTCTCAGCTGGACTCGGTGTGTCTCAACCGGCGTTTGCTTTAGACGGTGAGATTCAGCGGGTCTCTGCCTCACGTGCGCCGCTTGATACGGTGTGTGCTTTACCCGGAATCTGCCTGAATCGGTCTTTGCCTCAAGCGGTCTGTCGATCCATGATCCCCACCTTAAGGATTCCCCATA